TTTATCGTGCACTTTCAGCTTTACAACTTTGCAGATCGTTTACATTCACATATAGCTACATTACACATGGCATGAAAGGCAGTATTGGAAATGGCATAATAGGGGCACTTTGAACTCGCCGAGATTAGAGAAGCAGTCGTCAGTAATATGACGTGTTTGTTGGGGGCAGGGTCAAGTTGTTCGCGGCCAGCCAGCGTAGAACATAGGCGCGCATTATGCAAATGTGTTACCCCGTGACGTGTAGCCGTCACGGAAGTGGGATTCGAATTACTAACAACTCGTTTCAGCTGTTCAGAGTCGATTCTTTATTTTGGGAGACAATAACTTTATTTATCGTGCACTTTCAGCTTTACAACTTTGCAGATCGTTTACATTCACATATAGCTACATTACACACGGCATGAAAGGCAGTATTGGAAATGGCATAATAGGGGCACTCTAACTCATCCCACACTTTGGCAGAGAACATGATTCTATGAGTCGATCCATCTCAAATCATGCCACAACAATCCATTGTTGCTTTCTGTCTAATAGGTCTTGACTTCTGAGGTAGGGGACTGGCGTAAGAATGTGGAAGCCATGTCTGGAATGGAGGGAAGAAAGAAGATGTTTGACGCTGCTGGGGGAGGCCAGTGAATCCCTTCGTGAAACCAACCTGACCTTCTGGACTGTCTTCACAGAGAAAATATAAAATAGAAGGAATGAGACTGAAGTGTTTTCTTGCTTTGTTGACCTTTCTGAGCGGCTGTTTTTCCAAGTCAACCCATATTAACTGCTAAGTATTAGTTGACCCAAAATGTAAATCCTGCAATACACATCCTTTTGTTGATTCTCACATAAGTGCTGACACTGCTCTTATTCTTATCCATGCAACAAAAGGAAATCAGGGGCTGTCAAGATCTAAAGAGCTCCATAAAAGTACATCCCATGATCTATATTTCAAGTCTTCTGAAGCTATGGATTGCTGTTATGATACTTTCATGTTTTTTCTTTTTTTTTCATATTTGGAGCTTGACAGCCCCTAGCCAAAATTATTTTTCATTGTATGGAACAATAATATGTGAACGATAATTTTTCCCCCCTTAAAAATAATATTTGACATATCTTCATTAAAGATTAAAGTGTAGACAGAGACATAAAATAGGCCTTAGTAGTGTTACGTGTTTTTGAGACATTTGCGGTTATTTCATTTCATTATAAATGTATCAAATAATAATAATAGTAATCAAAAAAACTCAGACGGCATGTGTTTGACTGGGATATATGTATGTTTTTGTGTGCTACAATGAAGTCTTAAATTGACATTAAAAGTGATATTATTACGCAGAAAATGAATATTCTTTTCTATTCTTTCAGTATTCACAAATATAATTTATGTACCTGAAGAGCCGATGACATACATGTATACTTTATTGCTTTTTTACATTTTTTATTTTTATTTTTCATGATTAACACATTAATGCACTGAATTTATTTTTAAGGACAGAGTAATAAATAACAGTTCTGTGTGAAATTGTTAGTTTCAAAGACTTTTAACTGCATCAAATTGCACATAAACGCAAGCACAATAGAATAATATATTATAACTAATGTTTTAACACTTTTTACATGTACTTCTTCATGATAAATGATGAACAGCTGGTCTTTAAAGATGACAAATGAATCATTATCCATTCTTACGTTTTGGCTCAGATGTGATATCTCACTATGGTGAAACTGAGAAGACAAGTTAAGCTAGAAGGTTAAGGGATGGGCCATTTACCCTGGTGACAGCAGTAAATAAACAGGTTAAGCAGGCCGTTGTTTCAGTACAGCACTGTTCATCCTGTATTTTTAGTTCTGTACCCCAAATCTAATCTTACTCAACCTTGAAGGGATGAACATTAGAAAGTGCATGTCATTGTGAACTCAAAGCATGCAGGGCGAAAGAGCTTTCCTGTTGTCACCTAGATGGGTCATTCACACTATGAGATGCACGGGAGCACTGGAAGTCCACGCGTATTTGTCTATGTAAATAGCAAGGTTTTAAATTCAAACAAGCAATGACAAAAAAATTTAAAATAAAATGCTTCTCCAGTAAACTGATCATGATTTAAGAACATTTAGCCTTATTTAAGGATTTAGGTTTCTTTTAACCTTGGTCAGTAAGCGACAACTTCATCACTCATCACTTATCATAATCATTCATTTCATCTGCCTTTCAATGCCTTACAAACTATAGAAGAAAATCCTAGAAACTATTTAGAACATCCTAGCAACCTCACAGCAATACCTTAACAACCAGCCAGAACATGATTCTATGAGTTGATCCATCTCAAATCATGCCACAACAAGCCATTCAGCACAGCCTTGCATCAGGGCCGATAGCTTGGTGGGCAGTGTGCCAACATATGGTGCAGTTGCACTTTGGGTGTCACGAGTTCGAATCCCGCTTGTGGACCTTTCCCAATCCCGTCCTCCTCTCTCTCCCACTCAGATCTCCACGGTCTTATCAAGAAAAATGCAAAAACCACACACGCACAAAGAATAGTCTCACAATTGCCCTGCAACCAAGGGAAAGCTGATGACATATGAAACAATTGTCATGGTAGCTCCAACATTATAAAGGTGAATTTTGCATTAATGAGCATCACTTTAAAAATGTAAACTCAATTGGCTGATATTAATTACACATTCTTGCAAATATTAACTTAAAAAGATACTTTTTCAAAATAAGGAAAATAAAATAAAATCTAAAATATTTATTTTTTAAATGTTATACAGTTTGTATTGCCCTTCAAGCCTTTATTTATTTTGGTTATCATGATCACAAATTATTGCTACTTTAAACAATAAAATTATTTACAATTTTTTCAAGTAGCCTTGTGATAAGCTGCATAATGTACAGTCATCATCATCACCAAATCTTTTGAAATTATTTACAGCTAAATTTTACTACAACCTTATCAGTATAATATAATTAGTTTGATGAAAAAGTTGTTTTTTATCATGTCCAATTTTTTACACCAATTATAAAGATTACTTTTGACAACAGAATGTTTTTCTTTTCATTAAGATCTAAGCAGTTTGTCTTTTGCATATCACATGGAAATAAAATTATTGTTATATGCTGGTGCTACTAAATTGTGATTGGATACTGAAAGGCTTACTTTGGTCATATAAAACTACGGATTAAGATATAGCTATTGGTCTAAATATGGTAAGTGAGAAAGGGAGATACAGGCTTCAGTAGTAAGTTGAGAGGGTAGCGACGTCTAAAGTTGGCATCATCTAAAGTGGCTTGCACTATATTTTTAGACCTTTTGTTCATTGCAACTAATCTCCCTCAACCTTTGAGTGAGAACATTTGAGTGCACAACCTCCACTATGAACTCAAAGGCAAAAGAGAGCAAAAATGTTTTTTAGGACAGCTATAAAAGACCATGGGCCTTCATACATGAAATAAACAAAATCATGTGACACTGAAGCAATGGCATCTGAAAATTCAGCTTTGCCATCACATGAATAAATTATGTTTTGAAATATATTAAAATAGAAAACAATGTTTTATTGCCACCATGTCTGCATTCGCAGGTCAACATCACGCAAAATCCCACCCCCTCTCTCCCGAGCTGTTGGAAAAACAGAGCGCTAGTACATTTATTTTGATTTGTAAAATGTCCCGCGACTGAAAATTGTTTTCAAAAGAAAACCCACCACTTCAGGTCGACTTTGCACTTCTGACTTATTTAAATATTACGCAGGAAAGACAAATCCGATCCAGAAGTCAGTTGATGTTGCCAAGTGCAAACGCGACGTGTCCTGATTGACTGATGATCCGATCTGCTTGATCGGATCACGGTGATCGCATGTTAATGCCAAGTGTAAACACAGCCACTGTGCCCAAGGCCATTTTCTAAAAACACAGTAACACTGGTTTTGTGTGTAGAGAAGTGTAAATATGATCTAGCTGAAAAGATAGTCAATAGTCATGTCAGTCACAGGGCTTGATTGTTTATACAACGCTGAAACAAATGCTAACCCATAACCTTAATTTACACCCTTAATATGTTGGCAGCATATCTTTATAGCTAGCAATACTGGTTGTCCCAATCAGATCCATCCATGACTTTTCTGAGTTGAATCCATGACGTCTTTTCTTGACAGATGATTGCGTGATTGAGTTGAGAATGACCAATGAAATCGTCTGTGGGGGCAAGGTTTGCGCTCAACTGGTTTGGAAAAAAAAATCGTGCATTTGCTTTTAGCCTTGATTGTTGCTCTCCCACATTCCACGTTTAGAATGAAAATGGTGGAAAAAATTTCTGAGGTGGAGTCGTTCCACCTCTAACCCATTACCTAATACTCTAAGAAAGAGAGAGAGAGAAAAAAATATAAAATTTATATGTATACATATATGCACTCAGTAAATTTAGTTTACTTTTTTTGACACTAAAGGTAGTTATTATTATTATTTTTAGTAGTAGTAGTAGTGGTGGTAACAAACTCCATGTAGAATATGAGTATGTTTACACAACAATGATTGTACTAAAATTGAAAAATGTATTCCTGTGTATTATTGAAAAGTTTTGTGTACAGATGACAGTGTTGTCAAAACAATCCCTGTTCGCACTAATCCGTGAAAATGATAAAAAAAAAGCTGTATTATCATACCGGCCAGTAGTTGGGGATGTCACATAGCAAAAAAAAAAAACACTATGTGCCTGCACACATTCAAGTTTGTGTCTTTGTAGTTTACATGGAGACGATAACTATTGTTTTCAAAATCTTGCACTTTGAAACCTGTTTTCAAAAGTTTTAAGACCCCAAAATGACGTTGTCAGAGAAATAAATGACCAAAATGCATAAAACGTTTTCTAATTTTAGTTTAAAACAGTGTAACACTCCCAAAACTGTTTTTTTTCTCCAGAAGACATATCATGTGCATTATGATACTTATTAAAAATACTATAATTTCTTTAACTGCAAAAGTCTTTTAATTAGCGGAAAATTACTGAGTGCTCTGATGTAACAAACAAAACACTAGAAAATGTTTAATAATTCCAGAGATTTCCTTACCTGTCTAATAACTCCCAGTCTTCACCCCCCCATTTGTCTTTGAATTCTCTCGTGTTCATGCCACCAATACGGTCCATGTCTGACTTGTAGATTCCCATCAAACCATAACCCGAAATCTCCCAAAAACCTATGGAGTACATTTGCATTATTATCATCTGAACATGTACCAAACATGAGCCAGTGACTGCAAATCAGGAAAAAGATAAAAGCGTAAATGTTTTACATTTTGATAATTATGATTAGTATGTAGGCTTTTTTTAACCCGTTTCTTCATCTACCTGGTGAAATTGTGAGTCTGAATACTTTGCAAACATAATGAGGTTTGTAAAACGCTAATTAATATTGGAGATCAGTACCAGCTGGGGCTCTTGGGGAAGCACCACAATCCAATCTCATCACAACTGGAGCATAGACCATCTTTCCCTCGACACAATGTTTTCGTATACTGGTTATTATATTCACAGGATAGTAGAGGTGCAGGTCACACAGGAACAAAATACTGTGCTCATCCTGAGAAGGAAGAATTACAACATCTTCCATATATCAATTCATTCATCCATCCAAAGCAATAGCTTCAAAGAGCGAGAAAAATGAAACAGTTACACGAAGAGCTTATATTGTAAAAATGAGGTTACCTACTTCAACAAGATCTATTCCAGCTTGAAGGCCACCTGTTCTTTGAAAATTACCATCCATCTTCTTAAACTTGTAACTGTCCATTTGTGCATGGTGACATCATTAGCCATATGAATTGTGCACTGACTAACACACACTTATATAAAAGTTTAAAACAAAGTGTTTTACCTTGGTAATGTTGCCTTTTTGAGTCTTTTCTTGATATCTATGTCAGAGCTGTTGTAATCTATAATTATTACATTAAAGTTTTTGTCCCCAGTTGCTCTGTACACTTTTTCCATTTCCCTGATAAACTGTATGATCCATCTGGCCTGATTTTTCACTATTGGAAGATAAATGAAGACTGCATTCATAATTTTGTCTTAGGAACGCATGCACAGAAAATACTGTCACGTTCAATTTAACAATGGTGCATTCAGGTTGTAACGTTGACATAGTACGTTTTTGAATTCTGAAAATGTTCACATTGTTGTCAATCTTATAATTAACATGTAATTACACTTTAGTTATAAAGTAACTACAAGTGTTTTGACATATGGCAATAATGGTAACACTATTTTAAGGTGTTAAGGTTAAATAACATAATTATTACATGAACTTACTATTATAATTACAATTAATTATGCATATTTACATG